CGTGGTCGGCCGGGCCTCGAGCTCGACCAGCGGAGCCGTAAGTTCAGCGGGGCGCGCTCGGTCGGCCACGCGCCCCGCCGGCCAGCACCCGTCCGCGGGCCGCTGACCTCTCGACCTCGGCACGTCCAGCCTGCCCCGTGCCGCTCCCCACCTCGGCACAGTTGCAGCGCCGGGTCACGGGGGGTCGGCCGTGGGTGGGCGCCCCGCCCGTCTGGATGTGTCGGTCACTCGGGTGGCGTCATACCTGCCACCCAGACACTGGGCTGACAGTGAGGCTGTCTTCTCGCTGACGGGGCTGCCAACACGCCACACAAGGACGGCGGCGCTGGAGCCATGGGCGGCTGTGCGGCACCGGTCGTCGCTCTGACGCTCCCTTGTCGGCCCGCAGACAAAAGACCCGTTATTGCAGGAGCGCCAGGCGTGGTCCGTTGTTTAGCGCCTAGCGTCCGTTGCCAGGCTTTGTTTGGGCCCCGGCGCGTCACCACCCCGGCGGTACGCTGTTTTACCAACGCTCGCGGTCGATCTAGAGAACTGTGTGGCCGCTTCACATGCTGGCTGCGTCCAATACCACCCCCCCTGGGCCCGCCTCTGGCTGCGTCCAATACCGGCCCTCCCTGGGCTCGCCTCTGGCTGCGTCCAATACCGGCCCTCCCTGGGCTCGCCTCTGGCTGCGTCCAATACCGGCCCTCCCGGGCTCGCCTCTGGCTGCGTCCAATACCGGCCCTCCCTGGGCTCGCCTCTGGCTGCGTCCAATACCGGCCCTCCCGGGCTCGCCTCTGGCTGCGTCCAATACTGGCCCTCCTGGGATCGCCTCTGGCTGCGTCCGATACCGGCCCTCCCGGGCTCGCTTCTGGCTGCGTCCAATACTGGCCCTCCCGGGCTCGCCTCTGGCTGTGTCCAATGCTGCCCCTCCCGGGCTGGCCTCTGGCTGCGATCAATACTGGCCCTCCTGGGCTCGCCTCCGGCTGCGTCCAATACCGGCCCTCCCAGGCTCGCCTCTGGCTGCGTCCAATACCGGCCCTCCCAGGCTCGCCACCGGCTGCGTCCAATACCGGCCCTCCTGGGCTCGCCTCTCGCTGTGTCCAGTACCGGCCCTCCCTGGGCTCGCCTCTCGCTGTGTCCAATACCACCCCTTCCGGGCTGGCCTGTGGCTCCTTCCAATACCGGCCCTCCCGGGCTGGCCTGTGGCTCCCTCCAATACCGGCCCTCCCGGGCTCGCCGCCCTGGTCCCTGTCAGCAGTGCATTTAAGAATACAGTTGTTCTAGTCGGGCGGGCTCAGGCCAGGGCACAGAATAGACGCAGCGGGCGTTGCCGCCGACAAGTTTAAAGCTCGAGCCCTACTCATCTCTGTCTCTTGCAAGGTTTCGTGCCTTGTCAACTGCGTTCATGAGGCGCAGGAAAGACTCCAATAGGTAATGAAGTGACGGGTTATAGTTTACTACTCCACTAGTCTCTAGCACCCCAACTTTGAGAATGAAGTGGATTGAGCCCGAGTAGAGGCTTGTTTTCCTGTAGTTAAGTCGCAAATGTAGGTATTTTCCCGTCAGCCCCCAAATTATTTTGCAAAACCACTCTCCCGCTTCAGTGTACTTCAACGTCTTAAGCAGGTCATGCTGAAGACTAAGCTTCCACTGAGCTCCTGACAAGCTTCTTAGCCCATTGGTGCAGCGCCACTGCTTTGCGACAAATAATTTTGCGAAACTTCTCCCCTACTTCAGTGTATTTTAATGTCTTAAGTAGGTCATGCTGAAGACTAGGCTTCTATTGAGCTCCTGACAAGTTCTTCACGTTCTTGGCCCATTGGTGCAGCGCCACCGCTTTGCGACAAATAATTTTGCGAAACTACTCCCTCACTTCAGTGTATTTCAACATCTTAAGCAGGTCATGCTGAAGACTAAGCTTCCATTGAGCCTCTGACAAGTTCTTCAAGTTCTTAGCCCATTGGTGCAGCGCCACCGCTTTGCGCCATAACGGCGGCCAGCACGTTGATGAGTTGCGTCACGTTTGTCGCATTAACGTCTCATCAGCCATATTATTTCTCGTTTAAACCGGAGGCCAACGTCAGCATGAGTGTTTTTTATCACCCAGAACAGAGCCTCGGCACGAGGAATGCGTGATGGCGTGACGCGAGATAACGAATATCCAGCTGCTGTTTCGGTGGGAGCACAGGCCAGCTGCTGTTTCGGTCGGAGCACAGGCCAGCTGCTGTTTCGGTCGAGCACAGGCCAGCTGCTGTCTCGATCGGAACACAGGCCAGCTGCTGTTTCAGTCGGAGCACAGGCCAGCTGCTTTTTCGGTCGGAGCACAGGCCAGCTGCTGTTTCGGTCGGAGCACAGGCTTGCTTATCACTGTGCTGTACGCTCGAGGTTTGACGGCTCGCTGACGGGCTCCAGACGTTGTGGACCCGCTAGTGGCTCGTCAAGCGCCAGACGCTGTGGACCCGCCAATGGGCCGTCATGCTCCAGACGCTGTGGACCCGTCTGTGGGCCGTCATGCTTCAGACGCCGTGGACCCACCAGTGGGTCGCCATGCCCCAGACGCTGTCGACCTGCCAATGGCCCGTCATACCCCAGACGCTCTGGACCCGCCAATGGGCCGTCATGCTCCAGGACGCTGTGAACGCGCCTGTAGGCCGCGCCGCCGCTCTGCTCACGGCGCTGACGGCAGGATAACGGACGTGTCGCCCACGGTCACGTCAAGGACATTCCACACGGTTATTCAGTGACAACGATGCAGTCTTGTGTGCATGCCACTGGCGTTCACCCCGTTCGCCCACTCCTGTGTGACCGTCACTGACTTTTACCACCTTGCCTTGGTACGTGCGCGTCCTTGTAGTGCCTCGAACACAATGGTGATCAGCTCGCCCGCGTTCCGTGATAGATCTGCTCCGGCGCCCATGCCCGCCTACTGCACGCGATTGGTGGAGGCCAGGCGGAACGGGCTTTGCCGCACGCGACGCCTCCCGGTGGGCAGCTGAAGCTGTTTAAGGGTCCGCGCAAGCTGTAAGCGGCGTTCGCTGCCACAGGCGGGCGGTCGCACAGCTCGATAGTGCTCCGTCGCAGGGTGGAGCCTGCAGAGGCCTTTAACCGGCGTGGCTGGCTTGACCACGCCAT